CCCCCCCCCCCCACCACCACCACCACCACCACCACCTCCTCCCTCCATCCATCCTTTCCTCCCTCTGTACCGTCCATCTTTGTTCTGTGTACCAGCAGGCTCCCTGGTTGTTGAAGGGAACCACAGGTAAACAAACAGAAAGGAGAAGGGAGGGAGGGAGAGGGAGAGTGGTTGAGGGTGAGTGGTGGCTTTGAGGGGGAGGTGGGGGGGGAGATCCAGATGGTGCAACAGATGTGCTAGCAGCAGCAGCTCTGCTGTGCAGACAGACAGGGAGCTCTGAGCTGGGTCTCTCTGCTCTGCTCCCATCACCTTCCCTCTGCTCTTCCCCGCTATTCTCTCTTCTCCTCTTATGGCTTCTGATCTGCTCTTTTGAGGTCACTTCAGCTCTAATGATTTGTGTTCTTTGTTCTTTGTGTCTGTCTCCTCCCACTCTGCCCATGTTGTGTTGATGGCACAGTAAGAAGACAAAAAACACCCTTCAACTGGAAGATGCAGGTTCAAGACCCTGTTCGGGCTAAGATCCACCCTGCTGTAGTGTCCTTGAGGAAGAGACTGAGACGCTCCCAGCTCAAGGGCTGTGATTCTGCAACTGACCCTGATTAACTCTCCTGTTTGGCTTCTTGTGGTTCTGAAAATTTAACTCAGTGTGCTCCATCCTGTTTAGTTCTGCTTTATTCCCCCCCCCCCCATCACACTCCCCTCTGTGTAAGACAACTAACAAGCCCGTGTACCGCAGTGGCCCACAGTAAACCTAGTGAAATAGCAAATGTGAGGACTTGCTGCTGTGCAGCCGCGTTGAGATGGTCTCAAGTGTGTGTGGCTCTCTAATGAAAAGCATTTAATGCAGCCCCCTTGGGGAGTCTGACCCCCCCAATGTCCACCTGATTTGGCTCCATCACATCTGCCAGATACAATCCACTGCCAATGGATACCAGCACTGGAGAGTAGAATTCACTTGAGAATTATTTCATTTTCAATCATACTTTTTATGTTTGTTTATATCTCTTTTTCTATAAATTCTGCATAGCTGCAGAAGGAATGCAACAATGATCCTTCTGCGAACACACTCTTTCTCTCTTTTGATTTTTTTTCATCACTAACAGTTAACCGACAAGATTAGTGCCTTGCATGCAGGGGTGCTGTGGTTGAAGTATTGCAGCCCAGCTACAACGATAACCGACGCACAGGTTAAATCTATAATGTATCTCCAACTGCAGGTTTTGCACAAAACAGGCAAATGTCCTCGGATCACCCGACTGGGACAGCTAGCAGCCCCAATGTTGCATGCATTGTCGCGGACACATCCGGACAAGTCTCTAAATTAGATTAAGACAGAGAGGTAAGAAGGAGACAGTGGAAGCTCTGCTGCAGCCAAGACCAGCAACAGCCCTGAAGGTGGAAGCACTCACCTCTCTGCTGGTGTTGATCCTCCGTCTGCTCCAGCAGCAAAGCCAGCTCTCTCTCTCGTTCCTGCGCTGAAAGGGTCGTAGACGCCATTTCCTCCTCATGAGCCCGCTCTGAACTCTCTCTGTCCTGTCTGGGGAAGAGGACCGGGGTGTTAAACTGTAAAATTTCTGAACAGTTCATTAAATGCATAATTTAAATCATATAACATGGCTACCTACAGTGTGTTTAAAACCAGTGTTCATCCAAACAGAGACACTAAATGTTAAGTCTGTGATTGAGAGGATGTACTTGTGGTTGAGCATGTCAACACTGTAGGCTACAACGTCGGTCTTAAACATCATTTATTCTACCAGGTAAATTTAAGTGGTACTGAATGTTTAGCATTTAGTAAACATAGGCTTGTTTCACTAAAAGTGATTACATGTCAATCAAGTTTAGCATTATATCACACAAAGCAGTGTTTTTGGTGGTCGGGCTGCTCTTAGTTTACTTTAGGATCAGAGATTGTGCCTGTTACATTAAAAACAAACTGCATACTAGTTTAGACGACATAGAACACATCAGTTAGGATCAACAACCGATTGATTGATGCATTTCTAATCAATTCCATCATACTTTACAACCGTTTCTGGTAAAAGATACAAAAAAGGTTTTTGATGGGTGTAAAGTAGATCAATAATGTAAAAAAAGGACTAAGAGATAGACAGAGGTGAGAGAGAAAACAGGAGGAGAGTAAACATTGTACAAACAGGAGAATGGAAGAAAGTACAGAAAGGAGAATGTCAGAAAACACTTAGAAGGCTAAAAGCGTCAGACCACTGACGGCTTGAGGACCCCCGAGTGATACTGCAGCTGTCTACGAAACACCAACACTCGCACAAATACAACGGTCCATTTCAGACTCCTTTGCAAGAGTATAAAAAGAAAAGATTGCTCTGCCCTTAGATATTACTTTGCTTAAGCTGCCCGTCATCCTCTGAATTTCCTGTGCAACTTGTGTCAATATCATTCAGTTTCCAGTTTGCCGAAAACACATGTGACGATACAGCTACGTAACATCAGCTGATCAATCGCATCTTATTTTTACAAGAGGCTACTTACACGACGTCTACATAAGAATAACTGTATGACTTCGTAGTACGACAGGGATGCTGGCTAGCATGACACATTTGGTAGCGATCAAGTAGCTCTAATCTCCCTGTTCGTTCATCTCATCATCAAAATTGTGCAGGTAAGACGCAAACTAAAGTGGCTTTTGAACAACGCTGCATTTTACTACCGTTTAAACCAAACTTTCTAACTCAGCTAAGTCCAAATTACAAAAGGAGAGAAAAGAAAAACTACAAAGACAGGAAAAAAAAAAAACGAACAAATAAACAGAACTCTTCCTGAAGTCCAAAGGCGCTAATGAAGAGAGAATTCTCCAGTTTAAGTGAAAACTTTTCTCCCCTACAGCGCTTGGCCTGCATCTCTAAAGTGACCGCGTCTGTCTGTTCCTTCGTGTGTGTGTGTGTTCTCCTGCTGTCCTGCTGTCTGGGGTGTGAAAGCGGGTGGCGGGTGTGCAGGGGACACAAGGAGACTGTGTGTGTCTGTACTCGTATGAGTGTGTGCGTGTGTGTGTGAGAGTGAATGAACCCCCGCTGGGCTTGAACAGCAGCCTGAGCCACCAAAGCGCACACCAGGGCTCAGCGGGAGATGGCGGGCAGGCGTTGCCAGCCATTTGGTCCTGCAAAAGGTTCCAGGGGGCCGTGTGTATTTGCGTATGCCTGTGTGTGTGTGTGTGTGCGTGTGTTTGTGTGCATTTGGGGTGGGGTGCGGGGGTGGGAGTCACACCAGACCTGTTTACCCACCAATTAGCATCAGACAGGCCGCCAGAAAGTTCCAGCAGTCAGCAATAGAGTGGTGGTGAGGAAGAGGAGAGCGATGGAAAACAAGAAAGGCAAAAGCACAGAGAGCTACACATTTGGCATCTGTTTGATTTTGCTGATCTACTGAAACAACAAACTAATAAAGTTGTACGCAACAGAGCAGACTCCGGGCCTTCAGCTCTGGGGACAACTACAACCAATGTAATGTATAAATGCAATCTCGAGGAGGGTCAATGGTTCTAAGTTCAGTTCAATAAGTAAGACCTGAGGGTTCGGATCCTTGTGGCCAGAGCCTGAAAGCCTCTTTGAGGATCAAATCAAAGCTGGGAAGTCGGGCGAAGTTATGAGGTTCTTTACCCTGCGCCATTTTGTATCCTCAATCCAAAGCAACGCGTTTACTTGCAAACTGCTGTCACAAAATGGCTGCTGATGAGCACTGTCAAATTAAAGCATAAAAAAGAGAAAGCAAAGGAGAGATGTCAGTGGAGAGCCAAGCCCTGGAGCAAGCGTTAAGGGCGGCGGGTAGAGCAGAGGCTGGATATGTGGGGCTGGAGCTGGATAATTCTCCCTGGACAATAATCTGCCTTCCAGCTAATTGGTGAATGGGCTCTGGGTTGCTGCCTGTGGCAGGAACTCTTGTTTGGGCCTAGGAGGCAATAGACTGAATGTTCAGTTAGCGGATAGCTGGGCCTGTTTGTATATGCCTGGCCTGATGCACTGGAGGACAGCTTGATAAGTATGGCGAGGGCGGCATGGGCCAGGGGCCTAAGGTAGGCTGGAATAGCTCTGGGGCTGCGGCCAGGTACAGTGGCTGCTGGGTAAGTGGGAGGTGGCAGAGGCGGTGGCTGGCTGGCTAGCTGGCTGGAGCAGCGAGGAAGACGAGGGGGCCCAGTCTGCGCGGCCTGCCTAAGTGGGCACTATTCAAGCTGTTGCCCATTAGATGTGGGGTGCCAGGGCCTGACCAAGCACAGAGTTTGCAGCACCCCATGGTGCAGCCGGCATCCCACGCCAGAACCACCAAATGCCGCGGTTTATCAGAGAACGAGCACAAATTGGAGTCAGACGGTGGACTTGGAGGAATTGGAGACATTCGCCAACGCCAGACACCACTGACCGCTGTTTGGACTAAAGTGAAATAGACGATACTCCCTCCCAATAAACACAATATCACCCGACACATACACACACAGTGGAATCACACAGAACATGAACACACACAAATAATATAGAAAAATCTGTGTGTGAATGTAAATTACAACAAAATATATGACTATATTTTGTTGTAATTTAAAATAACTAAGAAACAAAATAATATGCATAAAGACTAATGGAAAACTGAAGAGAACGATCCAACAAGCGAATCGTACGAATCGTTGAGGACGAGATAGGAAATCAAGAAAGACGATAAAGTGAAACTACTTCTGTCACAGAGGACATCTGGATAAATAGCTGTACTTATGGCAAATTTCCTGATCCGATATATTGTCAAAAATTAAAAAATGAGTGTGGTTTTAACAGATGACAGATTTGTGTATTACCTGTCATATCTTAACTAGATCGATTATACAGTATCAACAAAAATAAGAAATGTATAATCTCCTAAATACCTTTAAACATGAACCTATATTTTAAACGATTACATTTCCTTTGAAATCAATCATTTAAACTGAGGCACCTGCAGCTCAAATAAATATCTGATGAGACTTGATTGTGATTTACTTAAATGCACTGATGCTGTTCTATAAAATTACAACTGTTAACTATTTGCTCAACTGCTCAAAACGGTGACACTCCTGATGATTCATTTCTTGTGGAGGAATTCCAGCGGATCCACAGCTATTCATGATAGACTGCATCAATCAGACTGGATTAATATTCAACAGTTTGATACGCAGAACTACAGAGATGATTCCTTCTAATGTGTGAGTGGGCTTGTTTATGTGTGCGACTGAGAGACGGTGAGACAGAGGCCTTGTGTAGGCCCGTCTACCCGACACTGCCAACAAAGGCTGAGTGCACCGCAGAGAAAATAAAGTGACATATTGAACATTCGCTGCGCTGCGTATCATTGATGCGGCGTACAATAAACATCTGAATTGTTTTCGTGTGGCAGACCGCACGGCCGCGTCACACGATCTTCTCTCACACGCACCTCAATGTGTTTTAGCACATTTTTATTAAACCTCGGGGTGATGTAAGTCGATCACTCTGCTCCCACATCATTTTCTGACACTCCTCTCATTGCTTTATGAAACCAACACCTCAAACACAGAGGCGGCCTGATGCAGCCTCGACGCTCCTTTACTCTGTGCCCAGCCCATCTATCCGTCCATCTATCTATCCGTCCACAGCGTTCTCATCTCTGCTCCGATAATTTTTTTCTGCTGTTTCCATCTCTCCCTCCTCCCTCCCCTTTGCCTCCCACCCTTTTTTTTTTTCCTGTAACTAAACTGGCTGTGTCTCTCTCCATCTGCTGGTTCTTCCTTCAGCGGCCCTGCACCTGTTCACACCTCCTCTCCTGTTGGCCACCTCTTCTCTCTTCTCTACCCCCCCTTTATCTCCGTCTCTCTCCCTCTCTCCCTCCCTCTCTCCCTCTCTCTCTCTCCCTCCCTCCCCTCCCTCCCTCTGCCAGGCCCGTTCCTGGCTCAGTTAGCCTCTCTGTCATTCAATCCATCTGTCTGCAAGTCAACTTTGTTTACAGCGGGCGGCCCAAGCCTCTTTTCTTCTTCAAGGAGCGCTGAAGCCCCCCCACTGCCATCAAGGCCAGCGGCGAGCCAATCGAGCCCGGAAAAAAACAACAACCTGCAACTGTTAAATTAACACAAAAAATAAATGTGCCTTCCCTTTCAGACACACGTGCATAAGTATGGACAATAACTCTTAAAATATGCACATCTGAACATATTTCACTCCATGAATAAATACATGCGTGTCCACACAGACATGCTACGAATGCACGACCCTCAGAGAAACAAACATTTGCTGTTGCAGCACACCTTCCCTCAGAGGAGGAAAAAACAACAATTCCAGTAATTAGCTGCTGATTGGCCTCTGTCATCATCTATCTGCTCACAAAACAGAGCGAGAGAAGTTTAAAAGTCCTAATTGGCACAGGCGACTGATGGTCTTAACACAGGAAGGACGGACCGGCAGCGCAGGCATCTGTGATTTTAAAAATAAACACACAGCATACGTACAATATGCTCCCATACTGAGCATCCCAACCCAGGAAACCCAGGACTCTACAGAAATAGTTGTGGAT